CAGGGCGCGCCGCGCCCCTCCCGGGGTCCAGCCCGGAGGGGGCGGGCGGGGTGGTTCAGTGGACAGAGGAGGAGATCGGGCTATGCCTGGCAGGGAGAGCTAGGGTCCGGAGGGGTGGTCATTGGGGGTGGCGTCTGGCACAGTCCCATTAAAGGGGTGGCAGGCGAAAGGTGACCAGGATGTACTTGTCTGGACTGGAATCCCGTTATGCAGTTACTGTAGCATATATCATGTGTAGGTATGTGTTAGGGTTATGTAGTTATAAGGGCCTCCACATTTTTGGACCACTCCTGGAGCAGATCTACGAGATGGGTACTTTGGACTAAGGATCAGAGCTAGAAAGAGGATTCATAAGGAAGAGAGCCACAAGAGAGCTAACCCTGGCTCAGGCGATGCATCTGGCTTACCCTAGATGGAGGCTGTTTGGAACAGAAAGGGCTTACCTAGGATTCCTGAAAAGATCTTTAGGCGACCACGTGGTTTTGAGGTGCTTGGGGAGGTGGCATTGCGACCTAGTGGATGTATACAAAACTTCAATGTATGACGGCACTTGGCACATCCCAGTCCATCTGACCTCTCAGCAGTTGTATGGCAAGATAATAGTTTTCCTCAGCAGAAAAGGGGGCTGACTTTCAGAGAGATCCCGTGCTGTTGACAGTTAGCTGTATCCTTGGGTCTGGACCCCCTGGTTTCTGGATTCTAAATGACTTGCACTTTATAATGAATATATCACACCAAAACCGGCCCAGCCTGGTGCTTCCTTTAGTGCATGAAGGAGAAAGTCAAGGCAAGTGCTTTAAGCTTGCTGTTCTTTCACATTAAGTGGTCACTCTTCTCCATGTCTGTTCCTAGTACCTTCTGTTGAGTGACTTTGACATGCAAGCCTTTCTGAAATTCTTTCTGAGAAAGTACACTGCAGAAAAAGTTTTACTTCATGTAGAAAGTGGAGAACAGGAGACATAGTTGCTGAAGGAAGTCAGTGACCAAATGACCCTCCTTATTACAGAGACTGTCAGCTACCACTTCTAATGCAGCCCTTCAACACTAGATGCCTCTCCTCCTGAGTGCTCTCTACTTACACTTCCGGGTACTTGACTAGTCCCCAGGGAGCTCTTTCTCTGTGGGTAGATAACATAGTAGTTAACAGCTTTGCCTGAGGGCCACACAGCTGGGCTCAAATCTTGGCTCTTCCATTTGCTAAATTATGTGGCCCTGGAGAGATAAGGTTCCAGCCCAAGAAGGTACATCTTTAAGCTTTAGTCAACCAGTTATAAATGGTGGTGATGTAGTATGAGGATATGATGATCCTCTTTATAGATCCCTTAATATTGTGACTGCCCCAGTAGTAGATGTAGCCTCCACTCTAATCAGTACCAGGCAATACTTAGGTCTAATCTCTAGAAAGCCCTGCTCTGGTCATCCTTGTGTTCTTCATTAGGTTTTGTGCTTGCTGGCCATCCATTGTTGTAATTTTCTTTGACACAGGGTCTTGCTATGTGGCCGAGACTGGCCTAGAACTCACTCACTATGTAGTCCTGGCTAGCCTTAGACTCACACTCTCCTGTCTCAACCTCCAGTGCTGGAATTGGAAGCGTGTGTCACCATACCAAGCAATTTCTGTTATTTTTATTTGATTGTTTCCAGCTTCATTTGTAAAAGGAAACCTCAGCACAGGTTCCACGGCGCCTCCTATGTGTCTGGGGTCTGTTGTCTTAGTAATACGCTTGTGTTCAGAGACAGATTAATCATAGATTCTACTGGGCCCTAGTCTCCCCACTAGTTGACGTGCTGATGACACCATGTATTGTGCAGAGTGGTGGTGAAGCTTAGAGCTGGAATATAAATGGTGGCACCTCTGTAGCTGGTGCAGAACAGATGCCTAGCAAACGGGCATTACAGAGCTGATCAAACACCTCTGAGGGGGAGGAGCAGGTGGGGCCTGGAGTGGGCCATTGCATTAAATGCTCCTACATGCCTTTCTCCTCCTCGTCCTGCAGCCGAGGGGAGCTGCAAAGAGAATCGGACTTCATGGCCAGTGTAGACAGCAGCTGGATCTCCTGGGGGGTCGGTGTGTTCCTGCTGAAGCCCCTCAAGTGGACTCTTTCTAACATGCTAGGGGATAACAAGGTTCCGGCCGAGGAGGTGCTGGTGGCTCTGGAGCTGCTGAAGGTAGGTGTGCAGGAGGGCAGGTGTGGCTGTGGCTGTGGGAGGCTCCGCACACGTTCTTGGGAAAGGACTGTCTGTTCTTACAGTAACAGTTAATAGCTGCCTTTGCCTGATCAATCTTCCACTGTACTGTGTAGCATTATGTATCTCTTATTTCTACATTTCATGGGTGACCCTTTATCCAGGACTTGTGAAGAACAGTTGATGACTTGCAATTGTAGGGATTAATGATAGGCTGAGTTACTTTTTATAGTAAAGCAACAAGTTTATTGAATGTGAAAAAGTAGACACTGTAGAGAGGGGCCCCAGAGCCAGAGTCTGTTCTAGGCTGAGTTTAAAAGTGCTTTGCCTTCAGTAGGTTTTTTTTTAATTGTTGTTTTGTTCTTTTGTTTTGTTTCTGTGCCATTCCTGGGGCTTGAACTCAGGGCCTAGGCACTGTCCCTGAACTTTTTTTGCTCAAGGCTAGAACACTACTACTTGAGTTATAGCTCCACCTCCAGCTTTTTGATAATTATTTGGAGATAAGATTCTCATATTTTTCTGCCCAGGCTGGCTTGGAACTGCAGTCTTCAGATCTCAGCCTTGTGAGTAGCTAGAATTACAGGTATGAGTTCATACTAGTATTGCCTGGACTGGCTTTGAACCATGAACTACCTACTCCTGCTTCTGAGTAACTAGGATTACAGGGGTACACCACTGATTGTCTGCTGTACACATTTCCTTTGGTACTGCGTAGGCATCCCAAAATAACATTTCCGGGGCGGAATGTTTCCTCTGTCTTTTCAAGTATGCCCTCCTTCCCACATCTGCACACTAAGTACAGCATCACAGCCACCTGTCCTTCAAGTCAGAAGCTTTTCCTCTTTCTCCTTTGATACTGTTTGCAATCACTAGGAGCTACCAGGTTTTCCGGGGGAGGAGTTTTGCTATTGTTTCAGCAGTACTGAGTTTTGAACTTGGCACTTCTCTTTTGCTGGATTCCACCTTTTCTCTCTCTGGATTGCCTCTAATCCTAACTCTTTATTCCATGTTTTCCAAGGTTGGCTGGCTCTCTGTTAACCCAGACATAGCAGTGCCTCCGGCAATCTGCCCTCTGCAGAACAAAGTCTGATGTGTTGTATTACACATTGGTGTAGGGGGCCTTCCTCCTGCCCTCTTCCCTGCCACGGGACCATGCACGCTCACACATGCTCAGGTTCACCCACAGTGCAGAAGTGGCCCTCCACTTACTGCTCACAGTTACACCCACAACTCTCCACTTGTTTTAAAAAATTTTTTTGTTGGTCATGAGGCTTGAACTCTGGGCCTAGACACTGTCCCTGAGCTCTTCAGCTCAAGACTAGTGCTCTACCACTTTGAGCCACAGCACCACTTCTGGTTTTCTGGTGATTAATTGGAAATAAGAGTCTGATGGACTTTCTTTCCTGCTGGGGCTGGCTTTGAACCACAATCCTCAGATCTCAGCCTCCTGAGTAGCTAGGGTTATAGGCATGAGCCACTGATACCAGGCTTGCTGACAATATCTTTTTTTTTTTGTCGGTTGTGGGGCTTGAACTCTGGGCCTGGGCGCTGTCCCTCAGCTCTTCAGTTCAAGGAGAGCACTCTACCACTTGAGCTACAGCGCCACTTCCCGTTTTCTGGTGGTTTATTGGAGATAGGAGTCTCACGATCTCTCCTGCCCAGGCTGGCTTTGAACCGCGATCCTCAGATTTCAGCCTCCTGAGTAGCTAGGATTATAGGCGTGAGCCACCAGCGCCCGGCTAGCTGACAATATCTTTTGAAGAGACCTGGATACTTCCTGAACTCCTCCTGATGCTATAGATATGAACTACTGGTGCCTGGCTGGTTTTGTTTTTTAAGAAACCTCCACCTCTCCAGGTTTCCTTCCCTATAGATGGAGAATTGGCATGCCTACCTCAGGAAACATTTCTTGTTCATGGGAATTGTTTCCAGTCTATTTCTTATTCTTCCCACTAGCCCCATCCCTCCTTTTGACCATATACTTTTCTCAAACCTCTCTAGGCTCAGTAACATTCACTTCTGTGATATTGCCAAATGGTATGAAGTTGGAGAGACTAGGATGGGTAGCAGGGAGTAGGGAATTAGGTGTCACCCTTCGGTGATACCTGAGGCTGAGATCTGAGAATCTCAGTTTGAAACCATCCCAGGCAAAAAAATGCATGAGATTCTTATTTAGTCATGGGGCATGAAATTGGGGCCTAGACACTGTCCCTAAAGTTTTTCACTCAAGGTTAGTGCTCTACTACTTAGACCCACAGCGTCACTTCTAGTTTTCTGTGGTTAATTGGCACAAGGACTTTCCTGCTTGGGATCCTCAGATCTCAGCCTCTTGAGTAGCTAAAATTACAAGTATGACCTACTGGTGCCTAGCTTCCCATGAGATTCTTACTTCCAATAAAGCCCCTAGAAAGTTGGAAGTGGAACAATGGCTCAAGTGGTAGAGTGCTAGCCTTGAGTATAAAAGCTCAGAGACAGCGCCCAGGCTCTGAATTCAGGCCCCAGAGGCAGCACAAAACAAAATCCACAAACTCTTTCCTTTTCAAAAAGCTTCCACGTAGGCCTGATGGGGTAGGTGCTCCCAGGCTCTAGCTTTGTGTGATCCTTGTTCTGAAGTGCATTGCATCTTGGGAGCCCTACTTTGTCCTGTAGGAAAAGGCCGAGGAGGTGTACCGTCTGTACCAGAACTCGCCCCTGTCCTCCCACCCTGTGGTGGCCCTGTCAGAGCTGAGTACCCTGTGCGCCAACTCCTGCCCAGACGAGAGGACCTTCTACCTGGTATTGCTTCAGCTGCAGAAGGAGAAGAGAGTCACGGTCCTGGAGCAGAACGGGGAGAAGGTAGGGGTACAGTGCTTTGTTCAGCCAGCACCCACTTGCCCGCCCCTGCTTGCAGACGTGTCAGCCTGTGTAGTGGGGCAGCAGTCATTTGTCTCTGTTTCCAGATTGTGAAGTTTGCCCGGGGCCCGCATGCCAAGGTGTCTCCTGTCAACGACGTGGATGTTGGCGTCTACCAGCTGATGCAGAGCGAGCAGCTTCTCTCACGCAAGGTCGAGTCCTTGTCCCAGGAAGCTGAGAGGTAACTCCTCCCGTCCCCCCAGACAAGCATGGGTGTCTGGGGTTCTATCAGAAGTAAAAAAGCTTAGTTTCAGACTGCTTGCCTAGAATGCTCAAATCCCTTGGTTCAATTCCCAGCACTGCAGAAAAATAAAAAACAATGTGGTTACTATTACCACAGTACGAACTGCTCACTGCAGAAACTCTGAAAAACACAAATTGCTGTAATGGAGAAAAATTATGACTCAATTCTCCCTCCAGAGATTTCATTGGCTAGTATCTTCTTTATGCTCTTGCGTACCAGTGTCTGTTCAGCCAGTGTTGGTCAAGACTGACACAGCTCCCTTGGCTAGCATGCCTCACCACAGGCAGATGTCCAGGCCTTACTAGGCCTTGATGCCCGACTTGGGCCTTGATCTTCCCCTTAGAAACCACCTTCCCTAGGTCTGCTCTCAGGCACTGTCACGCCCTTGCCACCCCATCCTGGGACATAACCCGCCTCTCCATCCTTTGTTTCCCAGGTGTAAAGAAGAAGCCCGGCGGGCATGCCGAGCAGGAAAGAAGCAATTGGTGAGTCCTGCCTACCTCATGTCCAGTTGTACAGTGCTGTCCTCGGCTGGCAGGGAGAGGGGCCTGTCGTTCAAAGCAGCCTGCTTGGTGCTCATGAGGAGAGGGCTTCGCAGCTCTTTACAAATGAGAGAGAAGTCCAGGGGCAGTCTTGCTGTCTTCCTCCTGCCTTGTGGGCTACCCTGTCTGCTCCTGGCCTCAATTTCCCCTGTCCCCTAGGCACTGAGGTCTCTCAAGGCTAAGCAACGGACGGAGAAGCGCATCGAGGCCCTGCATGCCAAGCTGGACACTGTACAAGGCATCCTGGATCGAATCTACGCCTCCCAGACAGACCAGATGGTAGCCGCGCCTCCCTTGCCCCCTTCCCCAGCCCCACCACTTGCTGCTCTCCCCTCCTGTGGATGCCTGGGTTCTTCCTGGGTGGGGGTGGGGGCTTTTACCTTCCCAGTCTGAAAGTTTGGCCTCAAACTTCTTTTGGTGAGGCAGATCAACCTTGAGTGGGCAAAACAAAACGAAAACCTCTTTCCGAGATGTAGCAATACTGTGTGTATTTTGCCAGATGTTTGTGGAGTGCTCTGATAACCTGACTTCCCTTTAGGTCTTCAATGCCTACCAAGCTGGGGTGGGGGCGCTGAAGCTCTCCATGAAGGATATCACGGTGGAGAAGGCGGAGAGCCTTGTAGACCAGATCCAGGAGGTAGGGGAGGGCAGCGGGGAGGGCAGGAGGGGAGGACAGGTGCGGATGCTGGGAGGGACATGCGCAGAAGGAAACCAAGGAGGACACATTTGGTTCTTTCACAGTCCACTTTTCCCAGACTAACTGATAACTTTGTGAACTTGAAGAAGTTTTCCTTGCTTCTCAGGTCTTTGTGTGCTGGGGCCGCTATCCCCAGTTCAACGCTTTGTGTTTGTCTTCCAGCTCTGTGACACCCAGGATGAAGTTTCTCAGACTCTAGCTGGTGGGGTAACCAACGGTTTAGGTGGGTCCCTCCCCTTCTTTTCCTTCCCCTTCCTGCCGTACTGTTCAGGTATATTGACAAGGTGACAACTCCTCCTCTCCTTTCCTGTGCTGTGCCTGGTTTGATCACGGACTGGCTGCCCCGCTGTGGGGCGCACCTGCGGGAGAAACTTGGGGGTTGATTTACGAGCTACTCATCGGCACTTCCTCTTCATCAAGGGGCAGGGCACCCGGTTTGTGGGGGCAGCAGCATATATTACCCGGAGGTGCCCTCTGCCTCCTGACTCCCATGGCTCTAACCACAGGGAGGCCTGGGCAGCTGCTAAGCTGAGCCCGTGTGGATAACCCCTGTTTGGACTCATTTGTGCACTCACTCCATAGAGCTGATGCATGCCATCTTTTTTGTAGATTTTGACAGTGAGGAACTGGAGAAGGAGTTGGACATCCTCCTCCAGGACACCACCAAAGATCCTCTGGACCTGCCCAGCAGCCCCCACGAGACGCTCTATACCAACAGTGTGCCTAGCCCTAGGATCTCGGATGCCGAACTTGAAGCTGAACTTGAGAAACTGTCCTTATCAGAGGGAGGTATGGAGCTGTTTTCCCGGGTGGCCAGACAGCATGTGGCCCTCTGGCTGACAGAGGAGCCAGGCACCGAATGAATGGGCTCCTGCCCAAGCACTCAGTTTGCCTGGGTACCGAGGACAAAGGGGTTGTTATTTCTATGAAGACTCGATCTCTTACCATCCTGCCTCGTATCGTCATTTCCTCTTGCAGGTCTGGCCCCAAGCAGTAAATCTCCAAAAAGGCAATTGGAACCAGCTCTCTGAAGCCATTGGAGGACCTCAAGTGAAGGACCTCATGTACAAGAGACAGCTTGGTGTGTGTACATAGTTATTTAAATGAGAAACACTCAGAATTTGTTGGAAGAGATGGAAGGAGAGCCACTTGGATGTATCTGGATGCCGCCACTCCCGACTGGGCAGGTACACTTTTGGAAGCGATGCTGCTAAGGCGTGCTCCCGTCTGGCATCCTGGACCTGCCTTCCCATCTTCTAGTGCCACCGTTTATACCGTTCTGTGTTCGCCCTGTCGTCTCGCATCGCCTGCGTTCTTGCCATGGGCTCAGGTTTGTCTTCACCCACCAGCTTTGTTCCCACCAGTGCAGGTGGAAGGTTGACTGCTTTGCCACATCAGCGCCTGCCCTCCACCCCCAGGCATCGTAAGAGCGATCTGCTCTGTCTGTCATGCCAGGAAAGCAACTCACTCCTGTCCCACTGTTGCCATTGGCAAAGAGAAGAATGAGTAACTTGGCGTTTTACTTGAGGGACTTCACAGCTGCTACATCCATAGAGAAACATACAGTGTACCAGATTTTTCTATAAGGGTTGCTTGTCATATTTTTTCACATGTGTAGAAAAAGCAGTCAGCACTGAGTGTCCCTGGCCACAAGGCTTGGGAGAAGGCTCTCGTGGTGGTCCTGTGCAGCCTCTTTCTCTCTTCCTTCTTACCCAGAAGCAGATCTACTAGTGGGGGAAAGGATTAATCTTGGCCTCTTGTGCTGGGGCAGGGAGGGAGCCCAGGTAACCCCTGGGCTTCAACATGTCCAAAACATACTGTTTTAAAGACGTAACATTTTTCTTGCCCGGCTCCTCTCATGGAATAACTTAATATACATATATATTTTTTTGTTTCCAGAGCAAGCCACACAATACCACACCTCCCCTTCTTGAGCAGGGCACACACCGGCAGGCTCCCTGTGTGAATCTGGCCAGCATGTCACTGCGCAGCCTTGCTCAGGGCAGGGGATCGGAGCCAGAATGTGCAATAGGAGCCAGCAGTTGAGGCCGCCTTCCCGGCCCGCTGTGGGCTTCCTTGGGCCCTGCTATGCACTTGCTCTTGCCTGCCGCAGGCACATCTTCCCCCTTCTGGATAGGGATGGGGGGATATAACGGGCGGGCGGGAGAGGGTCTGAAGGTTCCTGCAATGTGGAGAAGAAAGATGACAGCCACACTGCCACTCGGCTGCCCAGGGACAAGGACTCTGCCTGGCGTCCTTTGTCCACCTCTCACCGGAAGTGGTGCGGAGCAGACCAGAGGACTCTGCCCCAGGCTGCGGGCACAAATCAATGTACGAATCTCTCCACTCGACCTTGGTACACAGAAATGTTGGGGGTGAAGAGAAACAATCACTATTTTTTCTTTTTTATCTGGTGAATAATTAAAAGAGAAAACTCTACTACTTGTCTGTGTCTCTTCTTTAGGGTTCTCCCCCCCCCTCCCCGACACACACACATGTTTTCATACTGTGGCTCTTCCACCTCAGGCTTCCGGAGAAGGTGGAGCAGCCGGATAGATGTGCTGACGGTAGGAAAGGCGGTCACTAATCCATCCCTGTTGGGTCAGCCCCGCGTGTGGCGGCAGCTTCTCACAGGGCTCCTGTCTCCCTTCTGGGCTGCGGTGCACCTTGTTCTCAGGTTAGTCCTTTGATGGGATCTGAGCCCTTGTGATCCAGTCACCTGGAGAACCACCTCTGAACACTGCTTTAAGGGGAGCAAGCTTCAACACCTGAGTTTTGAGTGTGAGGCCGTAAGTTCAAACCCCAGTACTATCATCATCACAGAGAGATTCTTAGGTGATTTTTTTTTTTTTTTTTTTGCCAGTCCTGAGCTTGAACTCAGGGCTGGGGCACTGTCCCTGAGCTTTTGCTCAAGGCTAACACTCTACCACTTGAGCCACAGCGCCACTTCTGGCTTTTTCTGTGTATGTGGTACTGAGGAATCGAACCCAGAGCTTCATGCCTGCTAGGCAAGCACTCTACCACTAAGCCACATTCCCAGCCCTCTTAGGTGATTTTTCAAAGAAAAGCATGTGGGTCCCAGGTAAGAGGATGGACAACACACACTTGTCCAGTGTTTCAAAATGTAGCCTCTTGATACTCTTCCTCTGATGACCGCAAGGACTTGTGTCTAGATTTTGTGGTCACACCCTTCTAGGAGTGCCCTCCTATAACTCAGGATGGGGAGTGCTCAGGAAGGGACATTTGCACATTCCTAGTTTAATGTACAGTTAATCTATAAAAGTAGACTGCGTTGGAGCCTCGGTGGTTCATGCCTGTAATCCCACTCAGAAGGCTGAGATCTGAGGATCCCAGTTTGAAGCCAGGCTGGTTAGGAAAGTTGAGAGACTTCTATCTCCACCCAATGAAATAAAACCAACAACAAAAACCCCTTCTGTGGACAGCTAACGAGGGCGTGGAGGCAGGGGAGGCTGAAAAAGAAAGTTCTGAGACTGCGTCTCATGGCTGCACTTGTGGGGGTTTTCAGTAATGCACAACCAAGTTCCTAAGAGAAGGAATCTCAAGGGATGAAAACCCAGAACTTAAGAACAGAAGAACTAAAGCCAGCTCCCTGACATGGGCTGTGTAGAATCATAGGGCATATAAATTAGCAGCCACCTAGGGACAGGTGAGTACAATGGCTTGTGAAGAAAAACAACAAAAATGGGTCTAAGATCAAGATTCTCCTGTTGCTGGCCCCACCTGGCTTCCTAGGTCAGATCTTCACGTCCAGCTATTGTAATAAATCTTGGGGAGGTGAGGGCATTGTCTCAGGCGCCGATTGGTGGTATTACAAAAGAAGGGCCCCTCTTTACCTTTTCCAACTATTTGAAGATACAGCTAGAAGGTACCACTTTTTTTTTTTTTTTTTTTTGCTGGTCGTGAACCTGAACTCTGGGCCTAGGCGCTGTCTCTCAGCTCTTCAGCTCAAGGCAAGCACTCTACCACTTGAGCCATAGCGCCACTTCTGGCTTTTTCTGTTTATGTGGTGCTGAGGAATGGAACCCAGGGCCTCATGCATGCAAGGCAAGCACTCTACCACTGAGCCACCTTCCCAGCCCAGAAGGTGCCACTTGTGAACCAGGAAATGGAACCTCACCAGACACACAAACCCCTGCCTAGCCTTGTTCTTGGATTTTCCAGACTTTGAAACTGAGCAATAAAGGCTTGCTGCTCCTAAGGCACGCCTCAGTGCTATTTTATTACAGCAGCCTGAACAGACTAAAATATACACTACAGTGTGAATCTTATCTAACCCCATACATATGACTTAGAAGTATGTGTATGTGTGTGCAAATGTACTCAGGGCCTGGGCACAATCTCTGAGCTTTTTGACTCAAGGCTAGCACTCTGCCACTTAAGCCACAACTCTACTTCTGGCATTTTTGCTGTTTAATTGGAGATGAGAGTCTCACAGACTTTCCTGCTGGGACTGGCTTCAAACCACAATCCTCATATCCTAACCTCCTGAGTAGCTGGGCATGGGTCACCGGAGCCCAACATTACTGTTTGTGAGACCAGGAGAAAAACCCATAAACCTTGTTATGGTTTTAGTTTATCTGTCTCTCAGTAGCTCTCTCTGTGGAATTTTTTTTTTTTTTTTGGTCCGGTCGTGGGCCTGAACTCTGGGCCTGGGCACTGTCCCTCAGCTCTTCAGCTCAAGGCTAGCACTCTAGCGCTTGAGCCATAGAGCCACTTCTGGCTTTTT